AATGATGCTGAAAATTCAGCTTTGATCACAGAAATAAATTATACTATACCATATTAAACTATATGAACATTTCACAATATTACTGTTTTTACTGTATTTTTAATCAAATAAATGCAGCCTTGGTGAGCAGAAAAGACGTTTTATTAAAAAAAAAAAGGTTTTTGTTCTTTCACAAAATGTGTGACTTGAATTTGCTGGTAAGATTGTGTTACTTTTGGAAAAATAATATATATATGTATTTTCCCCATCACCTCTTGCTCTCAGACACTCTGTAAAACACTGATCAAAGGTCATTTCTATGACTGTAATTAGTGACATGTTCATAATTAAACACCACAGTTAGACTCTGGACTGCAGTACCTTGAGATTAACCTCAATGACTTTGTCAAAATCCTCTTCTTCCATCTTGAGAAGGAATTCATCTTGCGTGATCCCGGCTGCATTCACACACACAGACGGCGGCTGGAAGTAGCGGCGCTGCAATAAAACAAGAATAAACATGTGAACTTTCTGTTTTATTGTTTGACCCCTCAGAGCTCCAGAAGAGCCTTTGAACGGCACAGACACGTGTCCCTCACACCTGTACACTTGTCACTAGTTTCTCCACGCTGTCCTTTGATGACACGTCCACCCCCAGGGCCATGTGCTGCTGACCTTTGAGGTCACGTGACAGCAGCTCCAGCGTCTGATTGGCTGATTCCTCATTGCGGTCAGCCACTATTACAGAAGCTCCTTCAGAGGCGAACCTCTGACACACGGCCCTGCCGATGCCACTGCCGCCTCCTGAAAACACTTTTGTGTGTGCAATTCTTGGATTTGTGTGTAAAGTTTTGAAAGAAAGAGGCAAAGTTTTGAAAATGTGTGTAAGCAGTTGAAATAGACTGTAAACTTCCAAGGGACCCTCAATATGTCTTACATTTATATAAAATAGTTACATTTTAATAATAACAATCGATTTATTACAATTATTTTTTAAATAAAATCCAAAACAGTTTTTGTAAAAATAATAATAATAATAAAAATTAAATGTAAAATAGTTAACATTTGCAATAATTTAAGTTATTATAATACGAAGTACAAAAAATATAACTATAAATAATATTTATTTTGTATATCATTTCTGTGCCTCCTTTTCTACATATTTTGCTTGCTTTCTTAAATCTAAAAAAAAACTCGAGTTTTGTTAATTAAAAAGGTTTTTAGCTCAAATATAGCTCTACTGAAATTCTTCAGGGAGTCGTGAAGAGCTTTAAAGCAGCACTATGTAACTTTTTCTGTTTTTTAGCAGCATCATATGACCCCTTTAACACAAAGAGCTCTTGAACTGAGGAGTGATAATGCACTGATTTCTCACTGACTGTGAATGAGCTCTGAAACACGTCTGGGGAAATGAAGAGAACAATTAACCACAGTCCTGCGAGGCTGTTAGAGCTTTTCCATCTCAATTGATATCATTAAACAACACCATTAGATTAAAAATAAACCATCAATGACTCCCTGAAGATATGCATGTTTCCACAGACACACAATTTTATAAACCTCTTTGACATTTTGTTGCAATTTTGAGGCATATATTTTGCATATTGTTTCTGTCTGTCCCTATGTTTTGTTTAGAGCTGTGGTCTTTGATATGTAAATGAGCCAGAGGCAATCATGCACAGGTAAGTTAAGCCATTAAGTCTTTATTAAAATGAGCAATAATATACAACAACGGGAGGAAATAAAAGATTTACATACATACACACACATGCAAAAGAAGAGTGGATGTTCAATGGTTCAACCCTTAACATCATAAAAGCTCTCAATGGAGGGCAAGAGAGGTAAAACCTGGGGAAGAAACAAGAAAAGTGTTTGCATATTTTCATAGTTTTATTATTATTTTCGGACCAATAGTGGTAGAGGTTTACCTCTGTGCTGTTTCTTGTAGTGCAAGTATGCAGCAGAAAGAGCCACAACAAGGCCGATAAGGAAAAAAGAGCAACCCACAGCTAACTTTATGATTCTGGTATCGAGAGAGGTCGAGTCTGAGCGTGAGAAAAGATGAGAGAAAGACAATCAACCAGTGACAGATATAAATAACATGTTTTAACAGTACATGCAAATCAATACACCAGCAATGCAAGAAAAACACCTGGACATCATGATTCCCTTTCATGGGAACTTCGAACTGCGTCCTCTAGGGGTCGCTATGGGGAACGCCTCGTCGTGACCCGTGTCTGAAGCATACATTGAAAAAACACCAACTCGTTGTCCCGGCGCTTATTTATACTATAGTCGCACCGGTAGTGACGTCATGGCTGTCGCCGGCCAACGAGTTGGTGTTTTTTCAATGTATGCTGCAGACACGGGTCACGACGAGGCGTTCCCCATAGGGACCCCTAGAGGACGCAGTGTCTCGTTCCCTACTCAGGGAACCATGGTTACATAAGTAACCTGAGACGTTTTAAATGCATTTTACAAGCGGGAAACTTCTACAGTAATTCCAGCATGATGGCAGAAGTGTTATTTCATGAACACAAACATATACAGGAGCATTTGAAAGATGTGGCTTTGTATTTGCAGAAGGAAAAGAGGAAGTGATGGAAACTTTGGACTGGACCACATTTGTTGGGTAATGGACAGAATACCTTGTCATTTCCAAGTAGGGCTGTACAAAAAAATCGAATGTGATTGTCATGCGCATCTCGTCAGTAAAGCCGCTTCTGTGATTAGTAGTAAATCTCCAGCACGTGCTTTCAAATGGAGCGGCATTTACTACACAGAGCCGTAGATCAGTGGCAAGCTACACAAAATCACGTTCATAATCGCAGGTGATTCATTGCCGATAATGAACGCAATATTACGTAGCTTGTCAATGGACAAAATACCTGCTCAATTCCCGTGTTATTTTAATATTATATATATACTATTATAGTTTTTTCACATTTTTTTATCATTATTCATTATTTTTAATTAGTGTTAATTTTTTTATATTTTCAGGGTTTTTTTAGGCAGCGGCTATTTGCCCTAAGTGTAAATAGCATATTTTCTTAGCGATAGATGCTATTTACACTAAGTGCAAATAGCGATAGATTCTATTTACACCATGTTAAAATAGCAGGACTTTCTGCTATTTGTACTACTTATTGCAAATAGTGGCAATTATCTGCACCTCGGTATTGTAGTACATTATAAAACAGTGTGCAGTAATAATGTATTGTGTGTAAATTATAATTTTAATTCAAATTATTAAATACTGTAGATGCCACCTTATTGGGACAAAAAAGCCCTCCCTACACCTACCCTAACCCTAACCATACCCGATACTTTATTTTCAACTTTTTGATTATTTCCGTAATTTTTATTGAAAATAAATGCCTTTCCGATGTGATATGAGATTTGAAAAGGGAGAAAAAAAAGTTCGGTAAAAGGCGGATTCCCGGGTCGATCGCGTCAAAAACACTACGATACGCGCTTTACCATCTACGCCACTGAAGCTGACGATTGCCAGCCGTCTTTTATAGTGTTGACCATCCCTATCACACGTTTGTGGGTGAAGCTAGTTTAAATAGCTTCTGCCAACAAGGTGGGCTATTTGCACTTAGTGTAAATAGACACTCCGTTTTTTTTATTTTAGTTACATTTTTAGTAATTTTGTTATTGCCTTGACTGTTCCAGTGGTATTTTAATATTATTTAAATACTGTGATATTTTCATTAATATTTTAATAATTTTTATTTATATTATTACTAATAATTAATAATTAGCTAGTTTTTATTTTTGTCTTTTCCATTTTAATTTAGTTAAATTTTTAATAATGATGTTTAGCACTACATTTGATGAATCATGGACAAAATACCTGTTATTTTGCTATTATTTATATACTATTAAAGGTATTATAGGTATTTTAATATTATTTAAATACTGCAATATTATTATTAATATTTTACATATTTTTTATTAATAATAATTAATAGCTAGGTTTTTTTTGTATTTTCCATTTTAATTTACTTTAATTATTAGTAGTGTTTTGCACCAGACCACATTTGATGAACCTTGGACAAAATACCTGTTATTTTAATAGTATTTTATACTATTTATATTCATATAGTTATGCATATTTTTAATTATCTTTTATTTTTTATTTTCAGTTAATTTTAACTTAATTCTTAGTAATTCTGTTATGCACCAGAACACATCTGTTGAGTCATGGATACAATGCCTCTTCACTTACAGAGTTATTTTAATATTATTTATATACACTTTTAGTTTTAATTCATAATTAGCTTTTTATTTTCAATTATTTTAATTTTTTGTAATTTTGTTATGGGCTTTTGTCATTTTTATTAGTTTTTATAAATATTAACTTTTTTCATGTACTATTTATATTTTATTTTATTTCAGCTTTCTCTAAATACAAAAAAAAAATGTTTTTAACACTTTTATTTAACAGTATTAAGATTACAGGTCAGTTCTTCTGCAAGAATCAGATGTGAAATGTGCATTGATTGTCACATAATCATCCTACCAATTAGCACTGGTGAGTTCCAGCAGTTATCTAATCAGCAGTGAGTACAGATCACGAGCGTGTCTCACCCCAGAGAGTGACGAGAGGCTCCTCCAGACCGCTGTGCTCCACTCGGCAGCTCACTGGGACTCCTCTGTGCAGCACCAGCTCCAGGTACGAGTGCATCTGGTAGCTCCAGTCGCCATTATCCATGAATTCAGTAGAGACCACGTCTCCAGTGACCTCTGATCCATCCAGCAGCCAGGTGACATTGATGGCCTGGGGGTAGAAATCGTACGCATGGCACTCCAGCGTGGTCAGCTGACCGTAACGAGCCTTACTATTGGAGTGTACAGTAACAACGGGCGGCACTGGTGAGAAGACAACAAGAGAAAAAATCCATCAAATTTAACTGTTGCAACTCTTCAATCAATTCACACTCTCTGCTTTCATTTCCAGTTTTGTACTCCGGCTTAATGAACTCAGGTAATATGTGAGGAGTTGAGGTTGCTTACCCTTTCTCGTTTCACTTTTGATATAAAGTCTGGCATTAGCTCTGCATATTGTTTCCAACTCCTCCTTCCGCTGTTTCATCTTCCAGCTCTGATTGTTGTAATGCTCAGCATTTCTGATCCCAAGCTCATCGTAACCAACGTACTTCTCCAACCTCGAGTCATAACTGCACAGAAGCTTTTGGTTGAAGACTAGCTTCACTGTGTAGACCATGTCAGACAAATCCTCTTTGCTAAACTCACATTCATCGATGTCCTGGAACACATAAACATCTGAAGGGAACAGACAGTTATTCAAATAAATGTCAGTATATGCCAGTTAATATACGTTCTTGAGGGTTCAATATGCCATAGAAGACCATTTCTGGTCCCCCAAAGAACCTTTCAGTAAACAGTTCTTAAAATAAACACTTTTTTTCTTTGTGTAAAGAACATTTTAATAATCTAAAGAATCTTCTTTCACTGTAAAGAACCTTTTGTGGATTGGAAAGGTTCCATGAATGCTAAAGGGGACATAAACTGCCTCTGTTTTTTATTTTGTACAGTTCTCTGAGGTCCACTTATGATGTTATCAAGATTTTTTTACATAATTTTACATCATTTTGGTGGATTGTAGACTCAGAAGTAAACGTCCACTGTTATGATTGGCTAATAGTTGTGTGTTTGACAGCCTACGTCCTTCACAGATGGACACTGCTGTGATTTAGGTTAGAAACGCATAGATACTCAGTATATATCAAACGATCTGCAAGAAGAGACAAAGCAATAGTGATCACGTAATAAAAAACAGTTCCTCACATTTGTGTGTTGCGGCATTGCTGTCGGATCCAGTATAGCTGGCACAGCATCGTCTTTTAGTTTAAATCTTTTTGAAAATCCCGCGTCAAATTGTTTGCCTTGTTTGTAAACGAATCTGTGGTAAAATGAAGTGAATACAGGACCGAGTTCTTACTGACGCGGTCTGGAACTTCACTAAAAATAAAGTTAATTCACTCTTTCCTAACGTTGGGATTAAAAGCAAGGCAATGCAAAGACTGTTTCAAAGAGTCGTCTTGTCTTCGGAGCATCTTTATCGTTTGGTTTCTGCATAGAGTAGACCTGCGTTTGCCTCTCTTGTTATTTACACTATGTGCGTGAATGGGTGGGCGGGGCTAAACAGGCAGCGATGTAGAAGCAGGCGTTGATCTTCTTCTGCGGAGGCGGTGCTTATCCACACTATTACAAGGAGTTGAGGTTGCTTACCCTTTCTCGTTTCACTTTTGATATAAAGTCTGGCATTAGCTCTGCATATTGTTTCCAACTCCTCCTTCCGCTGTTTCATCTTCCAGCTCTGATTGTTGTAATGCTCAGCATTTCTGATCCCAAGCTCATCGTAACCAACGTACTTCTCCAACCTCGAGTCATAACTGCACAGAAGCTTTTGGTTGAAGACTAGCTTCACTGTGTAGACCATGTCAGACAAATCCTCTTTGCTAAACTCACATTCATCGATGTCCTGGAACACATAAACATCTGAAGGGAACAGACAGTTATTCAAATAAATGTCAGTATATGCCAGTTAATATACGTTCTTGAGGGTTCAATATGCCATAGAAGACCATTTCTGGTCCCCCAAAGAACCTTTCAGTAAACAGTTCTTAAAATAAACACTTTTTTT